ATTTTTATCCAAATTCGGTGAAACCTTTTCGAGTTATCGTGTTTACAAACAAGGGATCCACAGACACATACATCCGGATAATTGATCAGGATCTCATATAACATATTTCTATCTAGAAAAAAATTTGTTTCGACTATGTTTAAAAATTTTATAAATAAATAAGACCTACAAATCATCCTCCACGAGGAAGCAAAAGTAAATAAATATTAAGGTGGTCCAAAAATTTTTTTTTTAATTTTTCCAAAGGTCTTACCTTTTTAATTTCTTTTACAAGGTAAAAAAATTTTCATAATTTTTTCAGATTTTTCAAACAATTTTTAGAGGTTCATATTGTCGCACAAAGTACGGAAAGTAAAAAAATTTAATAGCTGCTCTTTCAGATTCTGCAATAAAAATTTAAACAGCTTTAAGGAAAAAAAGGATCCCTGGCGGATTGTATGATGCGAATGCTCCACGAAATTGGCGGAGCATTCGTGGATCACGAGATCGAAATTGATATTTTATCTATTTATGAAAATGATGAAATTGATAATATAATTATTAAAATCAATAAGTTTTATGCATTTTAAGAAGATTATTGTTGAACAATTATAAAATTTTTATGTTTTTATTAATCTCAATATATTGCAGTTGATTGTCAACATTTGTCGATAAAATCAATAGAGCCGCGCTTTTTAGCAGGTAGGTAGCAAATAGATCCTCGGTATGACATTGCTGCTGCCATCTCCACAAATAAGTATGTTGATCGATTTAAGTGGGATTCAGGTAAAAGAGACGAATATATAATATAATATATATATATATAACATAATAAGGAATTGTATGAGTTAAGGACTGAAGTTAATAGAGTGGCTGTGGAGTGGAAGAATTCAGGATATGATACAATAGGCGGAATTTCTTTATGTACAATTAAAAAAAAATATAAATTATTGTTGGCTAAAAAAAAGAATTGAATACGAACAAAGTATTAAAGGAAAATTTTTAATTGTAAAAAATGCGAAGAATTTTTGGGCAGCTGTAAAAACATGCCGAGGGACGGGGGAGTATATTGCGAACCAAATATCAATTTAGGAAACGGAAAAGTTTTATGCCACTGTTTATTCAGAAAGAGTGAATACTGATGTTATGTTTTTTGTTGTGGGCGACCCTGAGCTGGATGGAGATATCTCATTTGTGGAATTGAAAGCTGCGCTTAAAAGAAGTAAGGAGGGTAAAGCTCCAGGGATGGATAATATTAGCACAGAATTTTATAAAAATTTACCAGAGTCTTGGTTGTTGTTTGTCTAGTAGTTTTTTAATAATGTCCTTGTAACAGGGGAAGTTCCTAAATCTTGGTCTCATTCAATAATTACATTAATTCATAAAAAGGGAGAAAGGTCAGATCCTCATAATTATAGCGGAATAGCGCTTTGCAATAATATTACGAAAATATTCACTCAAATAATTGCTACAAGACTCACGGACTGGGCTGAGAAAAATTCACTCCTCCTGGAGACACAAAATGGCTTTAGAGCAAAAAGAAGTTGGACTGACTGTGTTTACGCTCTGCAATCAGCTCTTCACTTTTGATTACGGATAAAGAATGCGTCGGCATTTGCGTTATTTATAGACTTTCGCCGAGCTTTTGATTCAGTTTCTCATAACATATTATGGCAAAAATTATTCAGTACGGTGGTGAGTGCCAATCTAATAAGAATTATTAAAGCCATATATGATAATGCATCTTTTAAAGTTAGGGTTGGAGGGGAAACCTCGGTTCCAATTGAAGTGACGGAAGGAGTATTGCAGGGCGAGATTCTTAGTCCCTTGCTGTTTATTCTGTTTAGCTTAGATTTCGAAAAAAATCTCAGGGACGCGGGTTGTGAGGGATTGAATTTGAATGGTCAGGTTGACTTACCCTTACAACTGTATGCTGACGATGCGGTTGCTTTGTCAAATACGGCGTCTGGATTGGGTAAAATAATAAAAGAAATTGAGAAATACTGTAATTTAAATGAATTAAAATTAAAAAAATTAAAATCAATAGAAATCCACTCAGAATTGTTAAAAAATATAATTATTTAGGTGTAGAATTTTGTAGTTCTGCTATAGGCAGATTGGCAACAGAGAATGCGATTTTAAAGGCTAATCAAGCTCTTGGTGTTGTAAAGAGGGTTGTGAGTGTCGGTAAGGCAGATTTTTGGCCAGCACATTGTAAACTTTATGATAGTATTTCTACAACAACCTTTTTATATACAGTGCATATATGGGGTTTAAGATATATTGACAAAATAGAAGCTACACATACAGCTCACTTAAACAGTTATTGTCTCTTCCAAAATGTACTTTTAACGCAGCGCTAAAACTCGAGTTGGGCCCAGTCTGTTGAGAATTAAAAATTTTTAAATTTGCATATCTTTATGTAATTAAAATATTGAAAATGAATGAATCCCGCTTGCCAAGAATCTGCCTCACAAGACAAATTAAACTAATGAGAAATCCCGAGCCTGCTACCGAGTATAATTGGGCTGTTCAATTGAATGTATTTCTTGATAATATCAACATGAGAAATTTATGAGCAACCCTCTCGTCTGAAGTGTGGTCGGAGAGCTTCGATCTAGCGTTAGAAAGATATGAACGATATTTAAGGTTTACTGACGTGCTTAGATATAATAGATCTGAATCAAAAGTACACCGGATAAGTAGAACACTAGAAGATAAAACGTCTTTTTATTTACTTAGGCACCGCAAGTTCTTCTCAACAAAGATATTCGCACAATTAAGACTAACATCAAGACATTTTGTCAGATTTACATATAAGGGAAAACTTTATAGCTGTGACCAGAATTTGATCTGTTCTCTATGCAATATGAATGAGAGGGAAACTCTGGAACATATTTTGTTTGATTGCCCAAGATTTAAGGGATACCGAGACTTTTATTTTAATAAGATCAAATTAAATCCTCAAAATAAAGACAGAATGACCGAACTATGTATTGCACACGACGATTCAATTATCAAAAATATATGTTTTTTTATTATTGTGCCTGTTGTTATTATTTGTTATTATTTGCCTATTGTTGAGATCCTTTGTTTTAAATGAGTAAAAAATTGTAATATTAAATACACATTATAAATATAGCGGAAACTTCCTACAACGAAATGTAAATTTCTTATACGCAGAATATATTATTAATATTTTATTATAAATAAAATATTTTCTTTTGATAAAAATAAATGTTTGTCACCAATATTTTAAATAAAAAAAATAAATTTTCACCAATTTTTTTGATTAATAAATCAATTTTTTTGATGAAATAATACATTTTTTTTACAATTATTTACGTTTAAAATTAATTTTTTTCAAATTTTTGTTTAACAATAATATTTTTTTTATTAAAATATTAATTTTTTTAAATAAAATAATACATTTTTTTTACTAATATTTCCGTTGAACAAATAATTTTGCTTTTGATAAAAAAAATATAGAAAAAATTTAAAGAAAAGAAAATAAGAGTGCTGCCACCTACCTGCTAAAAAGTGCGGCTTTACTGATTTTATCAACAAATGTTGACAATTAACTGCAATATATTGAAATTAATAAAAACATAAAAATTTTATAATTATTCAACAATAATCATCTTAAAATGCATAAAACTTATTGATTTTAATAATTATATTATCAATTTCATCATTTTTGAGATCGTTTACGGTAAAGCTCACAACACAGTAACCAAATTAAAAAATGCGGATATAACATGGCTAACCAAAAGTATAAAAAAATAAGTAAAAATTTTCAAAAATAATTACTTGGTGCGTTTCGATGTCGCTGATTGCAAATATGCTCACCGATTTTAAAAATTGAAAATATCAGACCTAACGTGTCAAACTAAAAGTATAAAAAAATACTTAAAAATTGTAATGATGTTATAGTGTTGATCAGAGAATATAATAAAAGATGTTGAATTTTTTGTTTAATAATTGATTTGATTACAAAAACCACAGCATATTTCAGTACGTAAAAATACCCAGAAATAACTAATCGGAGGTTTTGGATGTCCTTGGCAGTTTTTTATGATGTAAGCCATTACATCAAAATTTAATAAAGTGAATTTAATTATTACTCACATGATACAAGTTACGCCATGTTAGATCCGCCATTTTTATTTTAAAAATGTTGGACCAGTTTTACAATCAGCGAAATCGAAAAGCCCCGAGTAGTTATTTCGAGGTATTTTTACGTATCGAAGCGATATTGAAAGCGTTCGTACATATCCTGATACTGTAAAACTACAAAAAAATCATATACGATCAATGTTTAAAAAATATCATTTTCTTGTCTGAAAGTAGCTATATCTTTTTTTCCTTAAAGCTATTTCAATTTTTATTGCAGTATCTGAAAAAGCAGTTCTTGAAACATTATTTAACGCAATGCTGAAATGCTATTAATTCCAAACATCCGATTAAATATATGTTCTTCAGAAAATTACGGATTTCCGTACTAAAAATTGTTTAAAAAATCTGAAAAAATTATGAAAATTTTTTTACCATGTGAAAGAATTTAAAAGGGCAAGACTTGGAAAAATTAAAAAAAAATTTTTTGGACCTCTCTAATAAACATCGCGTGTATGTATATAAGAAACCATTATTATTTTAATAAGATAATAGGTACAAATTTAATACAATAATTACGTAGAATGCCGGGGGGAGGGGGATTTACTGTAGTGTTACGAATTGTTACATAGGGGAGGGAGCGTTTAAAACTGGCTTTTAAAAACTTTACGTAATTAACGTATGGCCCTTTACGTCAATCCTTTTTTTCTGTTAACACAATAATCTGATTATTTACGTATGAGCAGCAAAAGTTTAAAAAACCTATAATCAAGTATTTTTTTGTGAGGTGTAGTTCAGGAATAATGACCCATATTTTAACTTTTGATGAATCTATGGTAAACTCTAATGTTAGAATTATTTATATACCTATATTAAATGTTTAAAATACTGCGATTTCTTAATTTCAGGTGTTACCTAGGTTTCTGGATTCAAGAATAATTGATGCGGAACATCTAATGGATGATAGTAACTATAGAGGTACATATGGAGGATGTCTGGCGACAACTTTGGGATCTGTTCTTCACGAATTGGGTCACACTTTTGACCTCGGACACACTCGAGAAGGAATTATGGGTCGAGGGTTCGACAACATCGATCAATTCTTCGTAGGAGCAGCAATGAACAAAACTAATCGTAATTCTACAAGACGAGATCCTCAGCACACAACTGTCTCTCTTAGCCGACAACTTAGTGTCACAGTGACAATTAAGGATCAAGCCAGCTTACTTGCTAGTTCAGAAAGAGGACGTTTACATTCAGAAAATTGTTCAAGGCCTTCAATTTCTCCATCTTCTCAAAGCAACTTCCCGAGTTCGATTCCAGGAAGGCAATCTGCTCCAGCAAGTCCTGAACTAAATAGGTCTTTTTTTAAGACTGTTCTTCAAAATAATTTTGATCCTCTTGGTTCTCAGCCTGATAGAACTTTTTGGGGAAATTCTTGTGCTACTTTGTTGGCCTATCATCAATGGTTCAATAATTACAATGGAAAGATCTTTCATCGAGATCATAATGATATTAAATTTGACGCAAACAGGTCAGTTCATTTATAATAAAATTGCACTAAATAATTGATAATACTTTTAAAGAAGATAGTATGTAACAAACATAATAAAAGTAGTTAATGGCCGATTATTAAAATAGTGGCTAATACTATTATTTATTTCACAATGCATTGTTAATATGAAATTCGAGGGATTTTGTCCATCAGATTTGAGTTCTTTCAAAATCTCTATTTGATCAAAAATTATAATTAAAATTCAGTGTGTCTAAGCAGCAATGACACGTGCAATTATAGAATAACTGTAGGACTGTGAGAATTCCGTAAAGGAGCACAAAAATGTGGATAATTTAGCATAAGTAAAGAGTGAAGATGTTAATGATCTGTTTCAGAAACCTGGTTTTTTCCCATCATGGAATCAGAGTTATAGAACTGCGAGAATTTTCTGGTGGAATGGTGGTGTCATCTAGGCAGTTTCATGGACCTCATCCTCCATTGGAAGCTTTAGTACCGCCTTCTTCACACAACATGATAACAGCTCTAATTCTTGTTGCTGAGGATTCTGCTGGAAACATTCTTAAACATTCTCTTCCAACTGCCTTTTAGAGCTAACAAAGACATTTTCACAGTACGTGAAACTTAGAAATAAGTTTCTGAAACTACCTCAAGCAGTTTTCTTATTGATAAAGCACACACATTATTAATTTCAACGAAACTCTTTAATTTCAAGATAAAGGAGGAGGGCCCATAAGCCCTATATTCAGGCCATTTAGGATATTTATTTAAATGATTGAAATGTATTTTTTTACAAAGAAGAAGTATATTTTTAATGATTTAAGGTGAAACGGGGGAATTTTAGTCATATTAACCCTTTGAAACGAAGGGTTTTTGGCGGACAAGTTTTGTAAAAAATTGTTGGATTTACTTGAAACTTGTTACTCGGAGGTTTTTTAGGGTCACTGATTACGAACCTGAAGTCGGATTTTCAAAATTCCCGTTTCACATTAAATAATCAAAATATATTTCTTCTTTGTAAAAAAATACATTTAAATCAATATCCAAAATGGCCCAAATGTAGGGCTTATGGGTCCTCCTCATTTTTGAAAAAAATCTGAATATATTATATAAATTATTTTTGTTGTTATATTATTATTGTTATTATTGTTATTATTATTATGTATTTCTAGAAAATAAATTATTACAAGTACGTTTACATGAACACGTTTGTGTTCTTGTACAAGAAAATTTGTTTAAAAATGTTTTTGAAATAAATTTGAAATTTTAATAAGTTATAATTATTAAGACTCTTCACTTATGCATGCACGGAGAGAAATTTTTCACTTTAAAAGTACCAATACTATACTAATGATTTTCGTATGTCCGTTTTCTTAACGAAAACGCTTAAAGTTATACTATAATAGTTCCAAAAATTGCCATGCGTTAAAAGATCACTGGTATTAACGTTGTTAGTAGCAATTTTCTGTCTATATTGCACGAATGACAAGTGAACATAGTTCCCCGCTCTGCCGTGCGAGATTCGTTCAAGGCACATACCAATATAGCGTCAACGTCGAGCGATTATTCCAATTAGTTGTCAAATAATCGCTCGACGTTTGACGCTATATTAGTATGTGCCTTGAACGAAATTCGCATGACAGGATGAAGAACAACATTCACATAACAATTATACGAATATAGAAGAATAAACGACTTTATCTCTCCGGAACAACCAAAACTATTTTAGTATGTCCAAGAGTGCGGATATATTAATGTCCTTATGTCCAACTATATTCACATAACATTTATACGAATATAGAAGAATAATCGACACTTTATCTCTCGGGAACAACCAAAACTATTTTAGTATGTCCAAGAGTGCGGATATATTAATGTCCTTATGTCCAACTATATTCACATAACACTTATACGAATATAGAAGAATAAACGACACTTTATCTCTCGGGAACAAGCAAAACTATTTTAGTATGTCCAAGAGTGGCATTGGTATAAATTTTATGCTATTAAAGTCGCAATAGTTGTTTTACTAAATGAGTAAGTAGTTTTCATACGTAATTAGGGAGAAATTTCTCTCCGTGTGCTAAACATTATTGCGCAGCTGTAAAGGCTTAAGAAAACTACTGCTCATCCTTTAAAGTTATTAATTTTTAATTTAAAAAACATAAATGAACATGTACAAGAACATGTTCTACATCTGGTTCAGGAAAATGTACATGAAACCTGCACAATAAAATATGTACAAGAACATGTACATTTTATTGTCTAGGATCTTGTACAAGTCCTGGTACAAGAACATGTCTCATTTCCGGATGCTGAACTTGTTTAAGAACATAACTTAAACATGTACAAGAAAATGTACAAGAATGAACTTGTACCTCTTTTTGTACAAGTTTTTTTAGCCGGGAGACCTTGAGCAGTCGGAATATCTGCTCCGCACTCATTGCAACGATACATTATTGTTTTGAATTTTTTCTGTTTCGAGCTGAGACGGTTTAGGGAACTTATCACTTGTGACTCGAGAAAATCCTGTGAAGGAACACACATAGGATCCTATTTCGAGGTCCTTCGTAAGTTCTCTCGTATGTTCATATGTGGTTTACCACACATTTTACGTTGACCATGTTGAAAATGATTACAACAGGGGATCTTACAATTTTTTCTGTGTAAGATCATGTACAAGTTCTTGTATAAACAACTTTTAATGCAATATCCTACGTAGGATCCGAGAGATGATCCTGCGTGTGTTTCTTCACGGGATCCTTTTTACTTAATGTTGTATAAAAGTGTTCCTTCACGGTACCCTTAAAATGTTCCTAAATAAGTTCCTGCATGGTAACCTTAATAAGATTATTTACAAATTTGTACGTACCTTTTTGTTGATAAATAATGAGTGTTCCTACATAGTATCCTTTAAAGTTTCTTTTACAAGTTCACACGTAGGAATATATACTAGTAACGATGTAGGAACGAACTCGTTAAGGAAACTTTAAAAGTTTCTACGTAGGTTGTTACTTACTAAGAGCAAGGTACATAGAAACTTGTCAAAGAAACTTCAAAGGATACAACATAATAACACACTAATAAAGAGTACTGTAAGTACGAACTAGTGATGGAAACTTCTAAGGATATCATGTAGGAACACACACTACTTACCAAGAGCAAGGTACGTACGAACTTGTAAAAGAGACTTTAAAGGATACCACGTAAGAACACTCATTATTCATCAACAAAAATGTACGTACACTTTTATACAACATTTCGTAAAAAGGATCCCGTGAAGAAACACACTCAAGATCATCTCTCGGATCCTACGTAGGATCTTACATCAAAAGTTGTCTATAAAAGAATTTGGACATGATCTTACACAGAAAAAATCGTGTGATTCCCTGTTCTAATTATTTTCAACATGTGGGAAACCATGATAGTTCACACACAAGTTCCTTACAGGATCCTTTTGTAAAATATCCTGTGTGGTAAACCACATATGAACATACGAAAGAACTTACGATGGAACTCGAAATAGGATCCTATGTGTGTTCCTTCACAGGAATTTTCAATAGGGTACACTGATTGACATTTTATCGGATACGATATATCTAAGACAAAAAATGCTTTGAGACATGTATCTTGCGCTTTAATTGAGCTGCGAAATTAATACCTGACATTATTGATTTGAACGTAGCACGCAGAAATGGCAGAATTTGTTGGCCCAACGAATGTTAGAGTTGGTTGGAATGTCAATGAATTTTTCTTCAAATAACGCGCGTGGTTCTCTAATTGCCTGTGGAGATCTCTAGGGACCTGTAAAAAACACAATTTAAATTTCATTTTCATTCTCATAAATAAAATTAAGTCACAATGGTAATCCTTTATTATATTAAAACAAAGTCCGACCGACCGACCGACCGACACCATTCAGGCAAATTTTTTTATTTTTAATTAAAACCAACTATTACTTATGCTTATGTTATATATTATTATTAACAATTTCACATTTACTTACACATATACACAAAGTAGATACACATGTATACTCACACATATACTCAAAGTACATACACATGTATACTCCACATATACACAAAGTAGATACACATGTATACTCACACATATACACAAAGTACATACACATGTATACTCAGGCATATGAATATATATATATGCGCGTACAATAGACTGCCCACTGTTTGAAAGAAACCCTTCGAACAATAGATCAGGTAGTCAAGCAGACCTTCGTTTCTCTTCCTATATATCTATATACAGGGTGTCCCGGTCGAGCGCGAACATATTTCAGAAATAGATAGAAAATAAAATATTAAGAAAAAAAGTCCTGAACAGTTTTTAAAAATTTTTTGTAGTTTTTGAGTTATTCAATAAGCAAAACCGCTCAATCAGACGCGCCAGACTGCTGTGCGCCACCCAGTGGGCGTGGCAATACTGGTGCCTCGCAGTTGAACAGAGCGTTGCACTTTATTCTCACCGAACAATAGAGACGTATGAAACTGTCGCAATTGCCATTGTCCCGACATGACAATGTCCCAAATTCTCGTTGTCCCGAAAGTAATCATGGAAAAAATTTATACCACGCTATCGTTTGAAACAATGCTAATTCGGGACAATGTTCATTTGGGACATTAGACATTCAGGACAATATCATTTTAGGACCTTGACAGATCCAGACATAGACAATTAGGGACATTAGGAATTTGGGACAATGACAATTTGGGACATTGAGAGTTCGGGAAATTAGAAGTTCGGGACATTGGCACTTTGGGACATTAACATTTTTGGACATTATCAATTCGGAATATTGACGCTTTGGGACATTAACAAATCGGGACACTAGCAATTCGGGACATTGAATATTCGGGATATTGGTACTTTGGGACATTTACCATACGGGATGTTGGAGATTTGAGACATTGACGATTTGGGACATTAGAGATTCAGGACAATATCATTTTAGGACCTTGACAGATGCAGACATAGGCAATTAGGGACATTAGAAATTTGGGACATTGGGAGTTCGGCACAATAACAATTCGTAACATGTTCAATTAGGGACAATGTCACTACGGGACAATTACAATTAGGGACGTTTACAATTCGGGCCATGACAATTTATGACAATGGCATTTCGGGACATTGACAATTTAGGACATTGGCACTTTAGAAAAATTATAAATTCGGGACATTGGCACTTTGGGACATTGTCAATTCGGAATATTGACACTTTGGGACATTAACAAATCGGGACATTAGCAATTCGGGATATTGGTACTTTAGGACATTCACCATTCGGGACGTTGGCGATTCGAGACATTGACGATTTGGGACGTTCACGACTCAAGGCTGTGTCAGCTCAGGACATTGCCATTTCGGGACAATGAAAATTAGAGACTTCAGCAATTTGGGAAGATTACGATTAGGGACATTGATAATTCAGAACGTTGGCAGTTCATATTAAATTCAAATTTTTTTCCATTGCTACTTTCGGACAAAAAAGTTTTCGGCTTCCAGGGGGAAAAAGTTTTTAATTTTCCTAAACTGCAAATTCATTTAAAAACAATTTTGTAATATTTCCCAAAGAAATAATAATTTTTAATTATTTATGGCGGCATTCGAGTCAAACTTTTATTCAAAGCGATTATCAAACAAAAAACCAGCACCTTTTTCGAGCTACTGAAGTTGTAAATTAAATTGTTTATGAACCCAAGTTTTATGAAAAACATTTTGGAAACAACTTGCGAATAAATTATTTTTTTAAATTAACAAATTAATTATTAGATGTAATCATTTTGGAGTTTTTCCAAAACAATTATCGGATTAAATAGAAGTCGACTTGTAAAACAATAGAATTGTTAAGTATCCAGAAATTTACTAGAATAATTCCGAATGAAAATTTTAGAATTAATAACTGTAATTAATTATCAAAAACATTATTGTTCACATTAAATTTAAACTTCTTCATACAAAAATTATTATCAGAAAGAAATTTTGTCGAATTGCTGTCATAAAAAATTTTTAATGATATTTCTTTTAGAATTGAAATTAACTAAAACAGAAAGAAAATTATTTATTGTCCATAAATCTCTGATTCATAATTCCATAAAGAAATGAAGAAAAATATTTTTATATTTGAGTATTTTTCCATA